GCTTTAGCTATACCGGCATGATCGGTATAAGACCAGCGGCAATGCGCTGATCAGAGTCTTTTCCCCTTGAACGATCAACACCTTATTGTGTGACGGCACACGCAATCGGAAAAGGTGAGGGGCGACCATCAGCATCCCCGCGCAACGCTTGTCCCTACTAACTCAGATTCTACTAATTCTCTTCTTAATCTGACCTCACAATTCGAGTCACCTCACCCTCAAACCCCAAGTTCGACCTCCCCCCTCGTCTGATCCTATTGGAAATCGAGTAGCATTCTCGATTTTTCGTTTCACGAAACTCTCCTCCCACCATAACTTCCCGTGCACCGTTCTTCTTTAATTCTCTACAAACACTAATGAACTTTCTAATTTGTCGTCATATTCGGGGTCGCCCGATATCAAAACCCCCCGAGGTAGAGTCCTACCTCGCCCGTTTTCGTTAAGGAACGGGCGAGATCAACACTTCCCATCCTTTCTTTCCCTCTCCATCGCCGTTTTCTGACAGCTTCGCGCGTTTCGTTTTCCTATTAACCTCGTTTTTACTAATTCTCTGCCAATTCTGATCACGGATCTAGGGTCGCCAACCCCAAAAACCTCAGTTCAGCAACTGTTCTCACTTCATTTTATAACGAGTCGAGTAAGACACATTCTCTTACTCACACCGTTTTCTGCCATCCCCATACCTCTGCGCACGTCCTTTTTCTAGTAGCACACCATCTACTATTCCTCCTCCCACTCTGCCTCCACCAATCGATGCGCCCCGCTCCCAAACCTCTGTTTGGCATCTCGGTTTGCTCGCTTCCATTGTGGATCGAGTAAACTAAGCAACTCTCAATCCCCCATCAGCTCCCTTCTTCTACCCTTCGTACGCTGCACGTGCACCCGACTCATTTCAGCAGCCACGTTCGGCCCCTCTCGCTTTGCTGCTTGTCACTCCATTGCCTTGCTTCCCAGCTTCAGCGCCCGTCGCTCGTCCGTCTTGCTCTGCCGTTGCCGCTAGCCTAGTACCAGAGCGGCACCCGCTGCGCTACTTTCCCCGCTGCCAGTTTTTCCTCCGCTCTGCCTCTCCCTGTGACTGTGCGCTCCGCTCCGTCTTCCTGCGCTCACCTTGACTCTGCAGCCGCCCGTCGCTCTCTACTCTCTCAGTATCTTGAAACCTTACCTTGTTGGGTCAACTAGCCCATCAACCGATCTGCAGCAATGTCGCTACGGATTTTCAACATGGAGTTCCCCCTGGCCTCCGCCTAGGTAAGCCCAGACAACCTTTATTCCCCCAATGGGGGAAGCTCACACGCCTCTCATGGCGGCGTGCGGCATTGTGGGCGTGGGCCTATTGCAAGCCGACAGCATAAGCCTTGGCGAAGCGGGCCCCGGTGCAGACCTTGGTGATTGTTGCAACACTCAAAAGGGAATTTCGAAGACCGAAGGCGGGAAAGGCCCCACAAGCCAGCCGGGCCCTTGGCACGGCTGCATGCCTCCTTGTTGTCGATGTTGTCCTCCGCACGCACGCACGCACCAATCAGGAAACAAAATCTTTCTAATCCTAAATGAATCAGAAATAAAAATCTGACCGGGGATCACGCCGACTCTTCAGTCATCAACAAGTAACAAGATCGCGCGCGCCCCAAATCTCAGCGCCCAGACGCAGCCGCGCCTCGCACGGCGTACTTAACTTTTAACCAAACTTATTTTCTGTCACTTGCAAAACCAGGGTGGATACCCTTGTAAGGGTATTCGCACCGACATCGTGGTCTGAATACACTTTGAAGTGCCTCCCAAGCAGGTAATGCTTCCAGTGTTCTAAGGCCTGCCTGAGAGCGTAGAGCTCTCTCTCGTAAGTCGAGGTAGCTACCTTTTATGAGGGCATCCTCGCTGACATGAACTCTACGGGTTTGTAGCAATTGTCGTCGTCTTGCTGTAACACGACGCCTATACCATACTGACTCGCGCCCGTGGTGACGACAAATGGCAAAGACGGATCTGCTACTTTGAGGACAGGGTACTCTATCAACGCGCGCTTTAACTTCTTGAGCGCGGACGTACAATCTTTGTCCCACTGTCAGATTGCTTCTTTCTTTAGCAACCGGCGAAGGGGAGCAACGATAGTCAAAAAGTTCCTTACAAACTTCCTATAGGAGTTAGCCAAACCTAGGAACGACCGCAACTCTGTCAGTGTGCAGGGTGTCGGCCAATCTCTAATCTCCACTATTTTGCTGTCCTCTGGCTTAATGCCATCTCCGTCTAAAATGTGGCCTAAGTACAAGACTTGTGTCTTGGCCCGCTTGCACTTCTTCGCATTGATCTTGAAGTTAGCCTCTCTCAGCTTCTCCAAGACCTGCCTCAAATGACCCTGATGCTTTTGGAAGGTCCTACTGAAAACTAAGATGTCCTCTAAATAAACTACGACGAATCTATCAAACCAAGGCCTAAACAAATCATTCATGCATCGCTGAAATGTAGTTGGCGGCATCACTATGAACTCATAATGCCCATATCTAGTCCGAAAGGCAGTCTTGTACTGGTCATCAGGATGGACCTCTATCTGATGATATCCGAATTTTAAATCTATCTTTGAAAAATATCTGCAACCCTGCACCCGATCTAGAAGATCATCTATCCTGGGAAGCGGTTTAACGTTCTTTACTATGATCGCATTCAGACCCCTATAATCTGTACACATGCGAACTCTCCTTCCTATTTGGGGATAAATAATACCGGTGCTCCACAAGGAGACAAAGTGGGCCTAATCCAACCCTTTTCTAGGAGCTCGTCTAACTGCTTGCACAACTCCTCTAACTCCCTTGGGGACATCCTATAGACTGCTCCCGTAGGAGCCTTACTGCCACGCTCTATCTCTATCCGGTGCTGGATCGGCCGCGGTACTCCTCCGGTCGGCGGCTCTGCTAAGTCTTTAAACTCTTCCAGCAGCTTCGCGATCGTTGGATCCATGGGTGTGTCTTCTTTAGGCTTAGTGACAGGCCTTGCATAAGCTACAAAGACCTGCTCCTCTGACTGCTCCTTCCTCACTAATCGCGCGAACGCGGGAGCACTGAGACAACAATGTGCCAGAGAGTTGTCTACTCCTGACACATGGGAGCCTACACTCATGCTCTCTCAAATGGAGTGTGGCCCCTGCTGCCTCTCCCCAGTCCATACGTAGGACTATGTCAAAAGGGAGGTCATCCTGTACGAGGAGAGTCAGGGAATGGAAAACCTTCTCCACCTTCCCATCTTTCTCTAGGCGGAAGTATACCTGGACTCCCTCTACGTAGTCCTCAACACACATCGTGCGGTTGTCTGCGAGGACACTGACTATGGGGTCTGTTAACTTCTGGACTTTTCACCCTAGCCTTAGCTTCTTCAGCGCCATACGGCTAACATAACTGTGAGTAGCCCTTGAGTCTATGAGGGCTCCTACTCTGCTTCTAAAAACTTCTACATCTACTAACACTAGTTGTCCTTTACTTTCCTTCTTCATTTTGGCCCAGGCTGGCATCCTTTCTTTCAATTCTGTTGCCACGCCTGTGAGGGAAGTGCCTAGAGAGACGCTAACACAAGCAGTCTCTGGATAGCTAACTAGGCACTGACCTGCAACCTCTGCCATAAGTGTGGGAATTTTCCTGGTGGTGCGCACACACTTCCCCACATCGCCTAGTGGTAGGGGCAGTTGCGACCCCTACTGGCGGCTGCCTTTTGACCCCTGGGCAGCGAATCGGGCTTCCCTATACTTCGGACAATATTTGATAATTTAGGCAGGGTCACCGCAGTAGATGCACTGCCCCTGCTCCATACGTTGTTGCCACACACGTTGGTCCAAGCCCAAGTCTTCCCAAGGTCGGCCCTGTGGCCAACCTGGGTGCCAACCTCCTTCCCTCTGAGGTGACCTTCCACCTCTGCACTTGGCGATCGACTATGCCCTGAGCGATTCGGAGGGGGACCTTGACCCCTACCTCCCCCTTGACGGTTCCTTTGACCGCCAACCCCTTGTGCACCCGGACCTCGACCACCCATGGCCCGACCCCCTTGGCCCTGGCCTCCTCTACCTTGCGGCCCCCCTCCAGCCGCGACAACAGCGTACGTCCTCCCCTGACTTACACCACTGTCCTCCTCCTCTAGCCCCCACTCAATCTGACTGTAGGGGACTTCGTCCGTACCACCCTCGTCCAAGGTAAGGATCAGGTGATCCTTGGTCCTAACCTGACCTGAGATGGTACGTCCCTTCCACTTTTTTCCCTTGTCCAAGTCCTTATGCTAGAAAGTGGAAACTGGCATGGACTTTGCCTCGAACAGGACCACTTCCCTACTTAACGCATCATACGTAATATTGTCCTGTTGGGTCTTATCAAAGAAATGCCCTCGCACGGGCTCTGGCATGGCACGATAAAATAAATTAACCAACTGGGTCTCAATGACCCCGTGGTCTGGGATGGCTACAAGGTCATCGATCACTGCCTTGAGTGCACTTGCACTCTTCCACTGCCTGGAGTGGATTGTGTGCAGCTTATCGAAGGCCCTGACGCCCCTTGTCACGTCAGCGAACCTCTCTCGTAGGAGTTTGAGGAAAGTAGGAAGAGGGGTGAGCCTAGAGTACGCAACCATATTGTGCTCACAATCTGCTGCGCGCGCAAGGGACCTGGCAAAGCTGGTCGCTTCATCCTTCAGCGCATGGAAGGCCACGAGGACTTATTCCTCTGGCGTGATATGCTGTAAATACACATACGTGTTGAAACTGGCCTCCCAATTATCAAAGTTATCGTCCTTTTTCCCACTATAAGAGTCAGAAAATTTGAGCGTGATAGGCTCTATGCGGGGATGCGTTTCGGCCTCTGTCGTGGCCACTACCTTGGCGCCTTCAATGGCGCCTGCACAAAACTTCTCTACGCCTTCCTTTAGTCTCTTAACTTTGGTCCCGACGTGGGTCACCACGTCGCGCGCGAACTCTCTAAACCTGGTCCGGATGGATGGAGGGTCACCTCTTGGCCCTTATTAGCCTGATATTGCTCAGTCCAGGCCTTTCCCAAAATCTCGAGATAACTCAAGATCTTATCTAGTTTGGCCGGAATATCTTGCTGTGCTCACACTTCTTGCTTACACGATTGTATTCTCTCCACTTCCTTGGCCATCCGGTTGGCGGCCTCCCTCCTCTTCTTCTCCCTTGCCAGACGCAACTTCCACTCCAATCTTTTTTCTCCAGGGGGTCCACGATAGCTTCCAGCTCCCTGGCTACTCCTTTCTCCTCCTGAGGCACATATAACATTGCCTCTTCGCCTTCTCCCAGTGACACATTAGCCACCCATTCGGATATCTTCTTCTCCATCCACAAATCTTCTTCCTTCGTGCCACTACTCTGTCCTCTCTCTCCTGTACGCCTTCTGAGGAGTCCTTCCAATGCTTCCTCCTCCTCTGCTGCTTCTTCTTCGGCAACTCTCCTTTTCTCTTCCTCCTCCTTTTGTAACCTCATCATCTCCTCCTCCAACTTCTTTTTCTTCGCCGCCTGCTCCTCTGCGGTTGCCTTTAACTTCGCCTGCTTAAGGAGCTCCTTCTCTTTTCTCTCTTCTAAAATGGCGGCCAATTGCTCCTCTTGAGCCTGGGTATAAGGGGTAGTGCTCTTCCCACTACGGGTGTCCACCATGGTGTCAGGTGCATAACTAGATATTAGTTCCACTCCTCACCACTTAGACTTCTACCCCCTGACTGACACAACTTACTGACTCAATCTATGGACCACAAAATCCGGACAGGATCTTGTCAACTAGGGTCACTAGCCTGGACCTGCTCTAAGGCTATCACTACCGGACTGCTGATCAGGAGGCATTTAAGGAGATCCCCCGTAACTCCTCAAGAATTATTTAACGTCGCAAACAGGACGACGCGATCAGCAAGTCCTCTCAAGACTTAGACGGCCTGTTGTGCAGCCCACAGTTGGGATTTTGGGCCTACCGTGCCACACCGAGCAGCCCGCCGGTTAGTACCGGTCCTTGGGAGGGTTCGTGTCCTCTGGGACAGTCGAGTCGCCAAACAATCTTTAGCCCAACTCAGCCCGTGTGGATAGGGCGAGGGGATAGGCTTTAAGGCTTACCGGCTCCAGCTTGGTCGAAGTCGTGGTCAACGATCTTGGTCAACACCTTGGTCAACGCTATGGTCAACCCCAATCAACTTCCCGATCAACTTCCCGATCAACTCCCCGATCAACTCCAGTTAACTCTCGTCAACTCCGGTCAACCCCCGGTCAACTCCGATCAACTCCGCCGGTCAACTCTTTGTCCGGCTATGGCTGTCGCCTTCTTCTTCCTCACCAACCTTCTTCTTCTTCCTCTTTCCTTTCTTCTTCCTCGTCTTTATCTTCCACCCAAGCTAACTTCTCTCCTTCCTTTTTTTTTTTTTTTTTTTTTTTTTTTATGGCTTCCTTACTTCGCTCAATCTCTCCCTCTCTGTCTCTTTGCTCACATCCTCCTTCGTTACTCCGTGGCTGAGCTCGACGGCTATGGCCACCCCTTCACTTCATTGGACCGCACAACGCTCTTCAACAGGTACGTGACAACCAATCTTCTCTCTCTCTCTCTCTCTCTCTCTCTCTCTCTCTCTCTCTCTCTCTCTCTCTCCGTGGCGATGTCTTCAACGCAGGTATGTGGTAGACCAACCTTGTATCGCTCTCTCTCTCTCTCTCTCTCTCTCTCTCTCTCTCTCTCTCTCTCTCTCTCTCTCTCTCTCTCTCTCTCTCTCTCTCTCTCTCGTCGTTGTCCTCTTGCAAGTACAGACGGCGACAACCTCCTCCACAGTTCAGGTATGGCGAACTTTGTCTTCAGCGGCGGTGCACTTCAACTATGGCGCCCTACCTGGCGCGCGTCTCTGACCTGCGGCAATGGCGATGGCGCATGGGATAGCGGGTACCAGCTCCGATACCAATGCAATCAGACTCGCTTTCTTTCACACCTCACATGCATGTAAACAGGTAGCGCAGCAAACTGGTGACAAGCGCCCACTCAGAGCTTAGGGATATGGTAACCAAGAACACAGTTTAGATACAAGCGCACTTCAAATGGCTATGGCGCATGGGCGCCTGTACAACTCTCAGCTCGTCACTCACCCAACTCTGCTGTTCACACACAGGATCACCCTGGATATCCCACATGCAACTCACTATACAGACACACACACGCACACATACACTACACCCTTCTTCCAGATATGGCGGCTATGGCCGCTACTACCTCTACCACTATGGCTAAACTCTCCTTCTCACCCACTTCGTCTTCGGGCATACTACAAACCACCTCGCACAAGTCGCTGTAGCAGCGCTTCCGCATGGCTTACGCAGGAATGCCTGAATGGCTGGGCGCTGCCTCTTGATTTATGCCTGAAGGGCTGGGCGCTACCTCTTGATTTATGCTCCTGTAACTTGAATGGTTGGGCGTTGATTTATACGCAGGGATGCCTGAATAGCATGGTCTGCCCCTTTCCCATGCCCGTGGCGCACACAGTCCCATACGATACTTGCTTGACTGGACTAGGACTGACTGGGACTGGAACCGCTGACTCAGCAAGGGTGGACTCCACCACTTTCCCACTTGCCTCTGTCTAGGCGTGAGCTAACTTCAAAAGGCCACTACTGGGACCTTTCGGAAGTCCGTAGTCCTGGCCTTTCAAATACTATAGCAGCTACGTCCTTGACCTTTCAGGACTGTAGCAGCTACGACCTTGACCTTTCAGAAGTCCTACAGCTACGACTTCTAGAACTCCCTAAGACCTCTATCCGACAGGTCTACAGATCGAACCCCTACAACCTATGGACCCTACGACAGTTTACGAATACAGGTCACGGTTTCAAATCTCGGGGTTGACGCAGGTAATGTACATAGGTAAGGTAAAGTCTAGGGATCGAGCCCTGGGATCTGCATTCGCCACTGTGTCTCGCGCATCAATCTCTCGTGTGATTCTTGTGTCTCGACTACCGGATCCAAGTGTGAACGCTAATCTGGATGCTCTTTGCATGTGCGTGCGAGGTTGAGCGTGATTCACTTGTGAATCATTGCACTGGTATCAAAGTTGAATCCGCTACATCCGCTTGGTGAAGCAGCGCTGGCAAGGAATAAGGCCGGGGGGCAGTATATATATATATATATATATATATATATATATATATATATCGTCAAATAGGACTGCCCGGTAAACCGTAGGCAGAGAGGGAGAAGAGGACATATATATATATATATATATCGTCAAATAGAACTGCCCGGTAAACCGTAGGCAGAGAGGGAGAAGAGGACAACAAACGAGGGGCTGTGACAAACTGTTTCGTCGGAGTTTCACCGACTCATCAGGAGGCTGAACCCTCAACAGTCTGTA